CACACACACACACGCTCACTTGCGCTCGCTCACTCACACACTCACTCACACACACACACGCTTGCTTGCTCGCTCACTCACACACTCACTCTCGCGCGCACACACACTCACACACACACTTATCAACACTTCCCCGCAACTAGGGATGCTCATTTTAACCGGTTAACCATGAACCGACAGTAAGAATTTTGACCGATTAATACAGTCAGTTAAACCGTTTAAAAGTCATTTAATAGTTTTGTTTTGTTTTTGCAGCAGTTTATCAAAGTATTTTAAAACGTCTGCCGCATAGTTAAAATATGCTACGCATATAAAATAAAATTGCGTTTCTGAGAGAAAAAAAACCCCCATAAGTCTTATTAGATTCAGAAATAGACCTAATGAGACGCAAACGTTTACAAACATTATAAATATAGCTAGGCTATTTTAGTTCCCCTCGCTCCACAGCAAATCCTTTCAATTAACAGTATTCAGAAAAGAATGAATGAAATCTAGGCTATAAACAACAAGCCAAAATGAATTAATTTAGGCTGAAGTGAAACTGAAACCTGTCGGGTCTCTCATTCGACACAAATCCAAATGTTTCCTTATTCGTGATATATTTGAGTGCCAAAAATATTATTTATGTAAACCTGGTTTTGTACTTCACTCGCGTTGCAATATCCAAACAAAATGTTTTGCATAACATCACGGCGGTGCGGTGATAACGCTTAACGACACAGATTGTACACATTTAACCTGAGCAGTGTGTTTTTCTGTATGCTTGACTGACTGTATTGTATGATGATGAACAGACTGCATTGACGTTAGAAATGCTTAACTGTGTGCGCATGCGGGGCCGGCACAATCACTTAAAGTTCCACTTGAACAGTGGAAACGGCTAATCTAAAAATGTTTTCAGACATTTCTCTCATCATAATTCACGTTCATTCGTACTGTTCACGATACGCATTAGTGTTGGGCGATATGCTCCATAGTCATATCATCCGATCGTCAGCCCGCCGATCTGCTTTATTTATTTACTTAGTTTCATAGCCAGAGAGTAAGGCTAAAAGCAGCCTAATATTGGTGTAATCTATTAACTAATTAAAAAATATTATGTACATATGTATGTCATGTCATAATATTTTTAATACAGTATCTCACAGAAGTGAGTACACCCCTCACATTTTTGTAAATATTTTATTATATCTTTTCATGTGACAACACTGAAGAAATGACACTTTGCTACAATGTAAAGTAGTGAGTGTACAGCTTGTATAACAGTGTAAATTTGCTGTCCCCTCAAAATAACTCACACACAGCCATTAATGTCTAAACCGCTGGCCACAAAAGTGAGTACACCCCTAAGTGAAAATGTCCAAATTGGGCCGTTTTCTAAAAAAGAAAGTGAAAGTTGTTTTCTATGCTTACTATTTCTTGCTTCACTGTTACAGAACAGTTTGAACTATTTCAGAACAGTGTAATGTAGTGGATGTCTCATTTCTTCAGAATTGTTATTTCAAGTTACTTTTCTTGTTGTTGTTGTTTCTCCTCTGTTCTTCATGGTGGAAAATGTTACTGGAAGTCACCAAAAGTTGAATCTTTCACACAGAAATCCTGAAAATGCACACGTTTTTGGTAGTTATCAGGATGATGTTGGTTTGAAATGGATCAGTGAAAGCATTTTTATATTTTATGAGCATTTTTTTTTTTATCACTTTGCCTTTTTGTCGTTTAACTCTTTCCCCGCCAGCGCTTTTTGAAAAATGTTGCCAGCCAGAGTTTTTGCTGATTTTCATGGCCCCCAGAATAGTTTGTTGAATGAATATCTGAACATGCAGCACACCAAAATAAAGATCGGAGCCTCTACTTTTAAACACAAATCTGTTTTATTCTAGCTTCAAGCATTGTTTTTTTATCAACACTTGAGTGTAGGTAGGTTTCATAAAAAAAGCGACATTTTGAGCAAAAAGCTGAGAAAATCGCATTATCAAATACTATCTGGATCATATTCAGTAATATTATCACAGCAAAGCTGCAGTAGATGGCTTCCATCAGCGCTCCCAAAGCTTCACAGACCTTCACCACTTCCAGGATCCACATTTCACTCGGGAACATTAGGCAGTTTTCATTTATATATGCGGTTATTGTTGATGATCTCATTATTATTCATATGCATATGCTTACATCTGAGATCACTGGTTTCTGCGTCTTCCTCGTCTGTGTTTTTGATTGAGTGATTCTAGACTCATTCAGGAGATGCGTAATAGCACCCCCTAGCATATAACAGCGAGAACGTTCCGTGTTTGGCGGGGAAAGAGTGAAGGACCCTTGTGTAACTCTTTTAAATGTAACTCTTAATGCACTTTATCTGTGTGTCTGTCATGTGACTCTATTCTAACTCTTCTGAACGGTCATGTGACTCCCGCAGGCCCAGGCCGTCTGCACGTGACCGTAGCCGAAGCCCCGCCCACTCCAAGAGAAGGGGCGGAGCTCAGTCGCGCTCCAGGTCCAAGTCCAGCAGCCCGCGGGAAACCAGCCAGCTCCACACAGAGAGTCCGGACGCCGCTGAGGAGAAGACGCAGACGCGCTCCCCGTCCCGCTCCAGATCCCGCTCCAGATCCCGCTCCTGGGCCGGACGCAAGTCCTGGGGGCATTAGAGTCCATGCAAACCTGTTTAGGTTTTGTCGTTTGCGTGAATGTCTGCGAGTGACAGCCGTCTGTCTGTTTCTTTTAATACGGAGGCAATCAAAGCATCGCCTGTTTTAGCACACGCATCTGCTAGCGGCTGCAGTGTTAGCATTGATGATGTCTGTGTGGTTTAGTTTACAAGCGCAGCTGCGCAGAATGAGAGATGAAAATCACCTCAATATTTTTGTAAGAGATTTTTGTTTTAGTTGATCAGTAATGGCCATCCATTTAAAACGGTCTTCCACGAGTGTCTCGGATGTGTTTTATTGTGAAATCTGCAGGCCTTTTACATGTAACCTCAGAATGAAATAAATTTCTTGTGCATCAGTATGTTTTCCAGTTTATCCTCAGATCTGGATTCCTAATCATTGTGAAGTATATGAAGCTGGTTTGGCACAATGTGTGCTTGTGGGTTTGGTTTGGAGTAATAATTACAAAGGAATCATCGCATGTTGTGACTTCAGCCTTCTGATTGAGTTTCCAAAACTTAAATTGAGTTCACCCTGATCTTGCCATTTACTCGCCCTCATGTTTTTCCAAATCTGTTCACTCTTTATACTAAAGGTTCCAGAAGAGGGGTTTTCACAGTGAGGCCACGGCAGAAACGGGTTTAGTTCCTAAAGAACCTTTCATTGCTCAGTTCATAGAACAACCACTTTTTGTCTTGGTGTGAAGAATATTTTAATAAATCCAAAGAACCTTTCCCCACAATAAAGAACTTTTATTTGGAAATTGATGCCACAGATTTGAGTGTCGCAGAAAAGATTTTTTGAAAAATGTTTGTTTTCCCATATAAAAAAAAAAATCATACCATGTACTATATACAGTTGTATACAACATATGAAAGTCAAAATATAATCTTTTGTGTTGTATGGAAGAAAGGCTTCTGCAGGTTTGGAACGGCATGATGGGGATTATAGTCTTGCTTCTCATCTCTGTCCTGTGCTTTGAGGTGTTTTCTGCACGAGTGCTCTTTGATGACACGTGTCAAATAAACCTAGCCCTGACCCTGTGACCCTTCAGCATTAGATGATCATCATCGTTAGTGTGTAAGAGCAGCTGCTGCCAAATCAATGAACCTGCTCGCACGCCACCGAAATCCATCCCACAATCCACGGGACTCCTGATTGGTCGAGAGCTGCCGAAGCACCGCCCCTGCGCTCTCTGGCCATCGATAGGTCAATGACAGGTTTAAAAACATCGACAGACACCGGCTTGAGGGAAAACCTTGATTGGATTCTGAGAGCAGTTCATGTATGAAATCGGACATGACGGATTGATCGTTAATTATGATACTAGGCATCGACAGATGGAGAGCTAGTTACTCACAGCGCTGTTGGTCACTCACATGCTTGAGGAACAGCAGAACCCGAGTCTCTTCAGTCATTAATTAACCTAGGCCTGGTTTCACAGACAGGGCTTAGTCTGAGCCAGGATTAGGCCATAGTTCAATTAGGACATTTAAGTCATTTTTATAAACGTGCCTTAGAAAAAAAACATTACTGGTGTCCATCTCGAGACAAAACAAAGGCATTGCTATATTTTAAGATCAATCCGTTCAAGTTTCTTTCAGTTGAAACAGCTCAGACTTACATTTTATTCTGGGACTAGGCCTAAGCCTTGCGTGTGAAACCGGGGGCATAACTGCTCTGAGTTACGTGATCTCATCAGTGCAGTGTCACGCTACATCAGGACCGTCTCCTCCTCGTCCAGTTGACCCGCAGGCCTTTACAGAAGCACAGCAACACATCGCATTGATTACTTTTGCCGGGATATAAAGTTAGCAGCGACCTAGATATCAAACTACAGCGTCCAGTCGAATGAAACACAGCCGCCTCTTTCAGATCATTGTTAGATGCGTTTTGATCATGCCGTCAACATGATTAGCAGTTTTTCCTCGTTCTGCGATTTTTATATCTTTTAGAGGAGCAACTTTCTCAAATGGTGAGTGTTGAGTTATATGTGACCCTGGAGCACAAAAGCAGTGTTGAGTCGCTGGGGGATATTTGTAGCAATAGCCAACAATACATTGTATGGGTCACAATTATACATTTCTCTTTTATGCCAAAAATCATTAGGATATTAACCGTAATTATCCTACCGTAAATATATGAAAACTTAATGTTTGATTAGTAATATGCATTGCTAAGAACTTCATTTGAACAACTTTAAAGATGATTTTCTCAATATTTAGATTTTTTTGCACCCTCAGATTCCAGATTTTCTAATAGTTGTATCTCAGCCAAATATTGTCCGATCCTAACAAACCATACATCAATGGAAAGCTTATTTATTCAGCTTTCTTTTCTTTTTAATTACCCTTATGACTGGTTTTGTGGTCACATTTAGTATTTCTGGTCTGTGAGATTTGTGAGAAGTGTATGGGTTGAGTTGTCGTCTCATCCGCAGCAGTGATGTCCGTGTGAGGATGGGTGACTGGAACTTTCTGGGAGGGATTCTGGAGGAGGTTCACATCCACTCCACTATGGTGGGGAAGATCTGGCTCACCATCCTCTTCATCTTCCGCATGCTGGTGCTGGGTGTGGCGGCTGAGGACGTGTGGAACGACGAGCAGTCCGACTTCATCTGTAACACGGAGCAGCCCGGCTGCCGCAACGTCTGCTACGACCGCGCCTTCCCCGTCTCCCTGATCCGCTACTGGGTCCTGCAGGTCATCTTCGTGTCCTCGCCCTCGCTGGTCTACATGGGCCACGCCATCTACCAGCTGCGCGCCCTGGAGAAGGAGCGTCACTGCAAGCGTGTGGCGCTCCGGCGCGAGCTGGAGACGATGGAGGCAGAGCTGGCGGAGGCTCGGCGGCGGGGGGAGCGGGAGCTGCGGCAGCTGGAGCAGGGGAAGCTCAACAAGGCTCCGCTCCGGGGCCCGCTGCTGCGCACATACCTGGCACATGTGGTGACCCGCTCCGTGGTGGAGGTGGGCTTCATGACGGGCCAGTACCTGCTGTACGGGCCCAAGCTCCAGCCTCTGTACAAGTGCGAGCGGGAGCCGTGTCCCAACGTGGTGGACTGCTTCGTCTCGAGGCCCACGGAGAAGAGCGTCTTCATGGTGTTCATGCAGGGCATCGCCGCCACCTCGCTGCTCCTGAGCCTGCTGGAGATCCTGCACCTGGCCTACAAGAAGCTGAGGAAGGGGTTTCTGGACTACTGTCCGCCGCTGAGAGACGACGATTGTGGCGCCGAGAGGAACTCGCTGCTACATCAGGGGCGTAAAGCCACTGTCCCAACAGCAGCCGGTGGATTCGCTCCGCTCCTGGAGAAACAGGGCAACGGACCCGCGTACCCCGCACTTGTTAACCCCTCGTCTGCGTTCGTGCCCATCCAGGTGCGACAGGAGAACAAGGACATAATTTCCAGTCTGCTGGAGTGCAACAGCAATCCCAACAACCCCTGCAGTGAGACTCGATCCCCAGCAGCGCAGACTCGGCTCCCGGTGGAGTCCCAGCGCTCTCTAACGGATCCGCGCAAGCAGCGGCGAAACTGTGGCACGGCGGTGGAAGGGAACGGCTCGGACAGCACAGACTCCAAGCCCAGCTCCGGCTCACGGCAGCACGGATCCGCAGGGAATCCCACCGACTCACCCAACGGACAACGAGCTTCACTAACGAGCGGCAGCAGACGAGCCGCCAGCGACCTGCAGATCTGAGGCTCTGTGTGCCTCTCTCACAGGAATCAGTTTGGATCAAAGGGATGGCTCAGTCAAAAATGACCATTCTGTCATCATTTACTTGCCCTCATGACGTTCCAACCAGGGCTGTTTTGCTGGGTTATAGGGGCTTCATTTGGAGTAAATAAATAAAACAGGACAATGATAGATATTACTGAATTCACAGCAAATGCAACAAACTTAATAATGCCGTTTTGTCCCATAGAAATGCACCTGACAGTAAATGTATTGCTGATAAATGCTGTCATCATTTCCTCAGCCTCGTGTGATTCCAGACCTGCATGACGTACTTTCTTCTGTGGAACACAAAAGATATTTTGTAGAATGTTACCAAACCATTTTGGTTACCCTTGATTTCTACTGTATGTCTTTTATGTTCCACAGAAGAAAGACATTCTTACAGGTTTGGAATGACATGATGCTGAGTAAATGATGACAATTTAAATGTTTGGGTGAACTATCCCTTTAAGATATTTAATATTTGTAACTAGTAAACATCTAATTTATATAAGACACTGCTATTTATATTTAATCATGCTCTTACTGAATTAACATTTTACTTAATTTAAAGTGAATTACAGTAAACATCTAAAGAGAAAGATGTTTAGAATTAGTATTAGTAAGATGGTGGTCACAAGAAGTAAAAGCATCGTCCTCATTAACATGGTTATCCCATATGGATTTTAAACTAAACAATAAGTAATAATAAACTATGAATTTTTTTTTTAAACATGATACAAAAACATCTTATTGAATATTGGGGAATATTTTACTTTTATATAAGTAATAACAGTAACACTTATAATAAATACATTTCTGCCAGAACAACAGGCTGTTTGTACAGTGTTAGTAACTGCAAGGTAAATGGCTATAGTGCTGAATTGATAATTGTTTTACCTCGTGTGAGTTGATCAGTAAGATCAATCAGCAATGCATATAGCATACAGTCAGAGCACCAAATACATACTATCTGTCGTCCACCAACATAATATAGCTGAGTGCAAAAAAATAAAAAATGCTATCTTGCAGATTCTGTGATTTTATACAAACCTGCACACTAAACTGTGTATTAAAGCAAAGATACAAAGATGGGGATTATTTCCCACAATCCAGTGCTAATCATGAGAGGTCAGCCAACTGACAATTAATTTGATCAATTACTTGCACCATTTTATTTTACGTTTCCAAAAAGAACAGAACATTATGTCATGCACTTTAAGCAATATAAAATATAACTGTTAGACCTGCATTACTGATTTACTTATCCCTGCTTGAGTAGTCTTGGGTGAATAGAAGGCTCAATGGGACTACTGTGATAGCTTAAACTTGCTGTGCATTTTTTATAATAAAAAAGCCCCAATACTTTATATTAAAGCACCATGGTCTAAATTAAAGTCTTGTTTTAGCGTGGTCTGCAAGTGTACAACTTACGTTAAACAGAGCTATAGTTTGTAGTTTTATAAATCACTAAACATCAGGAGAACAGTGCAAAAAAATGCTTTTATTAAATATCAGGCACAATTTGGCTGAACAACAAAAAAATTCACCTTTTATACGTGTATTACAAAACGAACTGAAAGACTTCCACTGATGTGAAGTGGTGTGGAGTTATTCTGTTCCGCCGCCCTGCAGCAACTGTAATTCA